GTACCAAGAGTTCCTGTAAAACCACAACAAATTACTTGTGTTTGCGCACACTTAAGTGGTAAATAAGCTCATTCTGAATCTGATTCTAATAAGAAAGCACCCCTACAACAACTTCTGAAAGTGAACGGTATGTGTTTTACTCATTGTGAAAGAATGGGATATATGGCCATGCCTTCAAAGGCTGCAAAGATTGAACCAAGCGTTGTTAAATGAGACAGTCAGAAGATTGCATGGTTCACAACCTGTCTAAATATGTTTACCTTGGTCCATTTATGCAGATAATAAAAAGTCTCAACTAACTATAAAATCACATCTTAGAAGATATGTCAATATTTAAATTGTTTAGTTTTTTTGTAACATTAGATTGGATTAAGTTGAAAGTGAAATCTGGCATTCTCTCTCTCTCTCTCTCTCTCACAAAATAAATAAATGTAACAAATCCTGTCATCACCAGTGCACAATGAATCTTGGGATAGTCTGGGCCATGAAGGATTCATTATTCGTATCCTTCATTGACCGGGAGACGAAGGATGCATTTTGGGGCAGCATTTGACGGATACTTTGAATTGGGACAGCTTTCATCGCACCGTTGTGATGCATCCGGTCTTAAAATGCAGCCTCTTAATTTAAGACACTAATTTTATTCTATAATGTATTCTCTAATTTAAGATTTTTGTGATGTCATGTGACATGTTGTTTTTTGAAGACATACAGTATCTGTGCATTATCAGTAATATTCTACACATGGACACTGTTTGGTGACAAGTCATTCATGACAGTAGGTCTGTTATGCTGTTGACAATATAAGCTTTCATACTTTGTTTGGCTTTGAACTATCCTTTACTGACTGACAGAGGAAGTTAAAAAGCCTCAGTAAGATCCCCTGTCTGAAGCTGGCAGGGCAGGTTTAGGCTCAGCTGAGTGACTGAGGTAATATCAGTAGGTTTGTGATCTGTACGTATATTCTTTGCACAAAAAGCAGAATCATGTTATTAGGAAGCACAGAAGAACTTCTAGTTTGGTTTGTATTATGAATGTGCTCTACACCTGATGTTAAGTGAGTGCTTGCTAGACACAGACTAAGCCTTTCCTTTGTTTTATTCCTCTTTCTCCCTTCTGTCATTTTAAAAGAATTGTGCATGATTTTTTTTAGTAGACGTGAGAACTTAGTGGCATGAATTTCTTCCTCTCCTTCTTATGTGCTTTTTCTAACTTACTCCTGTTCTCTATTATTTGTCTTTACTGTCTCATACACATGCGTCTTTCTCTCTGTAGAAGAAAATGATGATCATGCTTTGCTGTTTGATTCTGGGGATTGTTATCTTTTCTTACCTTTACAGCTTCTTTTCTTAATGGTAAGCATTCCAATCAGCATTCACATATATAAGGGAGACTGGGGCAAGTTGTCACATGAAACTAGAAGATGTTGAGTCAACAGCACAGTTATATGAATGTGTGTTTTTCTCCAGCAGTGTTGTGTATTTTAATTTAGATTTTATGATTTTGAATATACTGTCCTCCAAACTAGACTGTAGTCATCATATAATCCTTTGGGTAAACAAATGAACATTACAGTTTGTTTTTTTGCCGCAATTTTCAGAAGCAATTGGTAAATTTGCAAAACTCTTAGTACTAATATCACAACAGATCATCAAAAGTGCACTTTTTTTCAAACATTTCAGCATATTTTGAAACCATATTTTTGGGACAAATTGGTACCCAGAAGTAAGCAAAACTTGACAAAATCACCTAAAACCTTCCTTTGAGGATGTCTTCATTTGTAAAACCGTGTGTTTTGCTATTTGTGAACATACAGCAGTTCAGTTTTATACATTTGTCTATTATTTAATCTAACTCATCACTGATAGTTAATCAGTGAATCATTTGGTGCATCTATAGATATAGATTCAATAAATATTTAGTTTCTATAGAATGTGATTGCAATTTAGGGATAATCAAATGCACTGAATTATTTTTACACTAAAAGTGATTTATCTAAGATGATAACCACTATTTTGTAAGTGCAGCAGGACACAAGGGAGAGGAACTGATCAGAGATGTATCAGAAGAATGGAGACAGATGGCATCAAATACAGCATTTTACACTACATTATGCCATGTGATACTGCATATAGAAACATTACAGTTATTGCCTGTATTACTGTAATTATTTCAGCAACAAAGGTGATTTGAAACATGAATCTTGCATTGTTTGCTCTTGAATGAACTGATTGTTAAAAGTACTAAACTGAAAGAAGATCATACTGTTGTGTTTTGGTGATTAATTCAAATGTTCTCAATACATATCACAATGATCTTGTGTTTTGAAACAATGATTAGGTGGAATGAAAATATGCGCAACTACAATGAAATCATGAGATCAGGTTTTGAAATAATGATTAGCGGTGTTACAAGTGTGATCAGTTTAAAGTTTTGTACTAAGAGTTTTGAAAATGTACACCTGACTTGGGAAAATAGTACCAAACCAATAAAAAAAAAAACTGTAAAACCACGCCGACATGCATTCACAACTATATAACCAAGGTGAATTGTGTGCTTCACATATTGGGCAAGTTTTCTTCATATACTACTAAGAAGTCTCTTGTGTTCATCAACACTTTTAAAATGGTTCTTTATTATCCATGGAATTGTATCATTCCACAAAAGGTTATTTATAGTGGGTTTTTTTTAAAGGGGTGGTTCATTGCGATTACTTTTTTAACTTTAGTTAGTGTCTAATGTTGCTGTTTGAGCATAAACAATGTCCGCAAAGTTACCAAGCTGAAAGTTCAATGCAAACGGAGATATCTAATAATGTCTTTTAAAATTCTGGCAGTTTAATGCCTACAAAAACGGCTGGTAGGGACTACAACAAGTTACTTCCCGGGTTCGTGACATCACAAACCCAGATAATATATGGATTATATTTGCAACTGTCGCTTTGTTGCGTCAAGTGTAGACAGACTTTTAGCACAGCAGGGCGCGGCATGACAACTGTCGCGTCCGGTGTAGACACGGTCAGACAGTGTCTGCTCTATTACAAATAATTTATATATATTTTTTAAAAATACCTAAAACAGCGGCATTACAAGATGGAAATATAGACTAGAAAAGATATTTACACTTGCTCTGTCCTACGTCCATGACACTGACCAGTTTTAATCTTAACAGCTCTTAACGCCGAATGTGCACTTGGATGGTTAGATACATGATGGGCTAGTATAAA